ATTAGCAAAGCATACTGATGTGAAATCGAGTTATACTTTCAAATAGGTGAGTTATCCTTCTTATCAGGTTTCTTATGCTCTCCTAAGTGATAATGGGAAACAAAATGCTTCTCGTATTTGAAATGGAACATGGTATGACAAATATGCATACAATATCTTCATGTACCTGTTTGTCCTCCCTGCAGAATCAAGAGGGGGTTCTCTGAATGTTAAAACTCAAGGGATACAGGAGCTTCTCTCATCCGCTCTATGTCATCCTAAAATGTGATCAGACTATTTTTTTTCAGACTTGAGCTGTAGATGTAAATTATGACCTATGTACAGAGGAGGCTATAGCTCAGTGGCAGAGCACATGTTTTGCCCCCAATCATCCCAGGTTCAGTCTGTTGTATCACAAATGAAAAGAATTATAGGTAGCAGATCTCAGAAAGCCCGAACCTCTAGAGAGTTAGTGCTTTTATGCCCTGAAACAAACAGAATTTTCAACTTTAACATGCCAGGTATTTCTGGGTTTTCAAGTAGTCAGCAATGAGCATTCAAACTGCAAAGTGCCAGGTCTCTTTCTGTTGCACTTTATCAATATTGTTCAGGGAGTGATGTAATTGTTTGGGGTTTAGCAAAGACATTCCATATCATTTCAGCTTTAATACCAGGCTGGAGCCTTCCTTGTCTGTCTGTGGAAGCTAGATAAACACAGACCTGTGTGATTTCTTCTCATCTCAGAATACTTAGTCAGAGACCTTAGAATATACCCTTATTGTGAGCTAAACATTTCACATTTCTTTTTGCCCATGTGCCAGAAATCCATTTCTTGAATAAACACTTCACACATTGACACTCTTAAACTCACTAGATTTGATAAATAAATAAATAAAAGGCATACAACCTTTCAGAAACTATTAAACACCCCTCTGCCGACAAATGAACAGCTAGACACTTCATGGAATCGCTGGGCCTTTTCTTTGTCTTCATTATGCATGAAAGATTAACTTTCCATTTCAGCTCATCTGCTAAACAACCAAGCTTTTCTAAAACACACTTGAAGCATTGTTCTCAACACATTACTCATTTTAGGGATACTCTTTATGCAGAGGTTTCAGACTCTCACAGAGGGGGTGGTGTGCCATTTTTCACCCATATTAAGTAGTGGATCTGCATTTCTCAGTTAAATGAAATTTAATCATGAGATAGACACTGTGTGTGGCACATAGTCACTTGAAAAAGAAAAAAAAAATCTACAACCACGTTAATCACATTAATTGAGCTGCATCTAATCCATCACTACACAGAGCAGTAACTCACTTGTCAATTCATCCAATGCACCGTCATTCTGCCCATGACTAGCAGAATGTAACTAATCTCTTATTTATGTAGCTTGCTTAAGCTCTCTTCTCACCCTGAGCCCAAATAGCATGTTTGACACTGGAGCATTTTGTTAGGTGAATTCTAAATAAATGTTTCTCATTATGGAAACGTATTGTTACAAAACAAGCAAATGTTTTAACATACTGGATACATTCAATGTTTATTATGGTGTGTAAAAAAATGAAAAAAAGAACATCTCCTCATTGTCTAGTATTGTCTTCCCTAAAGATTCCAGACAGCTTATCTCTACAGGGCAGGTTAAAGATCCTCCTCCTCGGGGAAGTATGTGCCAAAATGTATATCACCATTTCCATTTTGTTCCACAACCCTAGCAGACACTTGCTTACAAAAGCTTATGTCAATAAACAATCAAAGTGTTAGCCTTTAAGAGCCATGGGATTGTTTGCTGATCTTAATACCTGGAAAGGTCACCAGTGGTACAATTTCAGAAAACATGAATGAAAAGGAGATAACCAGAGACCAAACAGACTCAGCTCAGCAAAGCAGCCTCCAAACAACATTTGTAGAAGCGTTTTAGCATCACTTTCATAATTTAAATTCAGGTGGGGGTAGCCGTGTTGGTCTGAAGCAGCAGAACTAAGTCTGAGTCCAGGGGCACCTTTAAGACCAGCAAAGTTTTATTCAAAGTATAAGGTTTCATGTGCAAGCACACAATCATGAAAAATATTACTTGTATATTACTTGTATAAGTAATAATGTATTATTTATTACAATGATTAAATTTCATTTATTTGAACTATTTCATATTTCAATAAATTATTTCATGATTTAAGTGCACCAGTATTCATTTCCTGAAGGGTTTTTGGTCAGTTTTTGTGATGAAAGCTCCTGTGACATAAGACTATTCCAGGCTACAATCATGCGCCAAGAGAAAACTTAGTCCTAATTCTCCTTACTACTATCTGCCAATATTATACCAATTCTCAGAGAGTTCTTGTTCTCCGTTACCATCAAATTTTAATTCCTAGTGCTATTTTAGCTATTCCCTTCCACTCCAGAAATTTACTGTAGCTACGGAAGGATGTCAGATCTCCATGTTTTTTATTGGCCAATGTCTTCTTAGAACAGTGCATCATTGCCAGTTCCCTCAGCCTCCAACTATTCCACACATTTTTTCTAACAATTTGCAGAGCTTCAGAAATCAACACTTAAAAAATCCATTCTTTCGCCTTCTCCTATTTTCATATAATTTAGGAAGAGAAGTTCAAGGGAAAATTGCTTAGATGATGAAGTACACATCAGGTGTTACATACTAGAAGTGGATGCTTTTTATGGAAAAGGATAGCCTGTAATGCCCTACCAGCCATACCAGTTTATATGAATCGTGACAAGGGAGGGGATGGGGACAGCATAGCTGTCCCAGCTAGTGCAGGCAAACCCGCCAATCAGATGGCCGCCAGGAGCTCCAGCCACAACCAGGAAGTGCACACTCACTCAGACCTGGTTCCAGCTGGGATGATCCTGGCCAGAAGGGGGTATGGCTACTCCAGCCCAACTAGTGTGCACTGCATGCTGTGTGGCTAAAAAAGAGAAGGTCACCTGAGAGGACTAAGAAGGGGATGCTGAGCCCAACTGGAGGCAGGAAGACATAAAAGGAGAGGGGCCTAGAGCTAGAAAGGGAGAGGTGGAAGCAAGGAATCTGACGTAGGAGGAGAAGAGACAGAGAAAGAAAGGAAAGACAGCTTTAAAGCAACAGGTGGAGAGGGACCATGGTGCAGAGGACAGGGAATCCTTTCTGCAGAAAGAGATGATAGCCTGATCAGGGGGGTAAGTGGCCTTCTGGGTGGGGCTCCCATTCCTGCTTGTAATTTGACAATAACACTATTATGGACCTGAAAACTGTGCCTCATCTTGTTCTGGATAGAAGTTACAATATATCTTCCCCCCCCTTGTGGATGCTATGCAGCCTTTGACCAGAGTCACAACAAACTCAGGTTGCCAGCCTCCAGGTGGGGCCTGGAGATCTCCCGCTTTTACATCTGGTCTCCAACTGACAGAGATCAGCTCCCCTGGAGAAAATGGACTCTGTGGCATTGTACCATGCTGAGGCCCCTCCCCTCCCCAAACCCCACCCTCTCCCGGATCCACCCCCAAAGTCTCCAGGTATTTGCCATCCAAGAGCTGGCAACCCTACAACAAACCTTTGAGCCCAGTAGTCATTCTTACGTCTACATATTATGCAAATGTTAAACACCAACTTTTCCAATAATTTTTAGAACAATTCCAGTTCTGTTTCTGAACATGTTACAAAAGAGCAATTTAAAAACTGGCAAATGCATGTGTTATTTCCAATATATCTGGAAAATGTGAATTTTAAGGGGGAAAATATTTTCCCTTGCCTAGTAAAATTAATTCTTAAAATAAGCCATGATTGTGAGGAAGTCACAAAAAGGGTGAAGAAAAAAGTAAACCAGAAGTTGAACAAGAAAGACTGCAAAAACTCAAACCTCAGTGCTGTTTAAAGCCATGCTGAAGTACACATAGGGCACTGGCTCCACTGCAAAGTTAATTTGACACATTAAAGCAATATTTAATTACTCGTTTTATTAAATACTGAAGGTTTTTTCTTCTTTCCTTTGTATGTAAGTGGGGTATTCAAAAACACAGAACAGAATGATGTGCATCTGTTATTAGTCAGAGGAAGTCCCAGAAAGCCATGGCTGGTTTAATTTAACCTTCTTGGCAGTTCATTTAAAATTAGGAAGACCTCCAATGTCTTCCAGCTCTTCCAGAATTCCACATGAGAGCAGAGAATGGCTTGTATGATAAATCAGACCTACTTGGATCTGGATGGCATGGGCACAGATTAGGCAGCATGGACAGAGTTTGAGAAGCACATCACTCCCCAGGCTGCCTGCCATGGGTGGGTGAGGGTTCAGCTTGGGTGTTTGGGCAACTTTGTGTACATATATTGTTGTATTCCTACCATCTGGTGTAAGAAAATGAGTAATCTGAAAAGCTAGGCAGATAAAATGGTAGGAACCAAAAGATGATGATGAAGAAGAAGAGAAGAGATTGGATTTCTACCCCGCCCTTCACTTGGAGTCTCAAAGCGGCTTACAAACTCCTTTCCCTTCCCCTCCCCACAACAGACACCCTGTGAGGTGGGTGGGGCTGAGAGAGCTCTGACAGAAACTGCTCTTTTTCAAGGACAGCTGTGCCAGAGCTTGTGACTGACCCAAGGTCACATCAGCAGGTGCAAGTGGAGGAGTGGGGAATCAAACCCGGTTCTCCCAGATTAGAGTCCGCACACTTAACCACTACACCAAAGATGCTGAAAGACTTCTGCTTCTCCATTTCTGCAGTACCACCAGCCAACTGATTTAGTGATGCTGGGAAGTTTTGCCTTTCAGAGGGGTGTTGCAACAGAGGCTGGCACAGCAGCTGGATCTTTACACAGAAAGTGTGGGGAAGAGGGAAAGTACTGTGACCAGGAAGGGGTCCTGTGAGCCTAATCCTGGTTTCACAGTTTAATTCACATGGCTTTGGATTATGTCTGAACTGAGCCAATAACAGTGAACACAATTTGTATTTTAAGAGTTTGGTTTTTGCAATATCCAGAAAAAATATATAAACTGAGCAAAACATTGAACTGGAATATACTTTCATCTCACCTTTTATGTGTTTCTGCCAAGGATTTCTCTTCCATTTCATGGTCTATTTTAGCTGTAATAAACAAAGGGAAAGTTAAGACACAAAATGCAATGCTTTATTATCTTCTTTAGTAGCAATATCCTTCAAGTGTGTACCTCTGGGGGGGAAAGCTCCAGCTGAGTTCTAAACGGGCATTCAAATTGTGCACTTGGCATTTACTTGAAAATGCTGAACTATACAGAAGCTACATCAAGAAATGGTTTAACAAAACAAAGCCTCCCCCCCCCATTCAACCAGCTAGATTCTAGGAGTAATTGTACAAATCACCCCAGAAGAGGTAAAGAATATTATCCTCCAGGCGCTCAGTAGGGGTCAGTCACCAGAGGTCGCCATGACTTCCAGGTGCACACACACATGCATATATTAAAAAAAAGAATATTATCACACAAAAGGCTTCTAATCAGCCGCTCTAACAATTTCTTTGCACGTTAAACGTTCTCGTTTGCTGCATGTTTTCTATTTTAAAATCTGTTAATTCAAGGATGCATAAATAAAGACAATTTAAAAAATCTATATCCATATATAAAATTCCATGACAAGGCAAGATAATCAGTGTACTTGACTAAATTTTGTTTTATATGTTAAATTTCATTAAAAAAATGTTTTGGTGGCCTAATCCTTTCTCCAAATTTTTTCCACACAGATTTTATTAATGGGTTTTCCTTCAGAACTTCACTGGACAGTAGTTTGGTTTATTTGCCATCTCTCTCTCATTCAAAAACATGGTTTAATCTCAGTTTCCCAGCTGGAAAAAACAATATTGACAATTTACAGAGAATGAACAGCTTAGCTTGGTCAAAGCAACCTTTAAGAGTGTGCAGTGGAGATGATCTCTGATTCTCTTTGCTAAGTGCTGATGAGGAGGACTGGAACAGAGATGGGATGTTTGCCAACAAACCAGCCTGAAAATGGACTGCTACAATCAATACAGTTGGACATTATCTCTCCTATACAATAATTCTGTTTTGGAGTGGCAACATTCCTTGCACTCCCAAATCAGTCCATTTAATGCTCTGTCACTCAGCACATCTCCCTATCCACTGGCTGCATTCCCTGAGGTTTACCCACAGAAGCCATGCCGGCCAAAGGTTCCCTCAGAACACAGTTGCTTTCCCTCCCTGAAGGGCCTTGCACTTGTGTGTGGCACCGGCAGCAGCAGCACCCTGCTTTTCCTGCGCCTGGCTCTGGCGTGGTCTCTCCAAGGCGGTGAGCGGGAGCTGACCCCACTCGGCCCTAAGAGACAAAGGCTCCGAGTGTGCAGGCCAGCCCGAGCAGGCCACGCTGAAGCGGCAGAAGCCCGGTGGTTGCTGACGCATGCCCAGGAACATGTAGTCAGAGAGCGAGAGGCAGCAGTGGTGCTCTCAACGATGGAGGAGCACCAGAATACAGGCCAGGTAACACCACTCACCTCTTTGCTGCGGCTCGCTCGGAGGAGGCCAAGACCGCCTGGAGGCGGCAGCTCCACACACCTGCTGGGGGGGGCTCTTTCTAGAACTCATTGTATTGCTTTTATACAACGGGCTTTGCTCCTAGTATAACATTAAACCATATTTTTCATCTGCAGTTTTCAAATTATGACTTGGATTCCACTGAGATGTACTGTGAGTAGTAGGCTTTTTGTTCACAGAATTTCTGCAGCTTTCTCTCTTCTCCCTTCCCACTACAGTTTCAAATACCCCAAGCTGCTGCTCCTGGGGGATGAGGACCCCACCCCCAAAAACAGCACAAGAGGGGAAAGTGTCATAAATTGCTTGAGGATCTTTTCAGTGGGATCTAACCCAAGTCCTATACCACTTAACATAAGAAAAACCTGCCAACAGGTATTAACATCAAGAAAACACCCATTGCAAATCTGAGATATGATATATAATATTGTACACAAGTACCAGTACTTTTTAAAATTATTTATATTACTCTTTTATGGAACATAACACACCTATTATATAAATATCAGACTAATACAGACTATCCTAGTCATCTAATTATGGTATTTAGTACACCATCTCACATTTGTAATTGACATTTTCTCTTGATAATTTAGTATCAAAGCATATTAAATATAGTAATGTATTCTAAGCATTTGCAAATTCTGGGATTTAGAACTACTGTTCCATCCATGTATTTTGTGATATTTTACTTTACCACCACAGTCTTGAGTCTTGAAGGAGCATCAGCATTGCTTGTGTAATCCCCTCCTCTACTGTATGTTGCAAGCTAATTAGTTACTTCCACTCTGGCCGCAAACCATAGTTTGTTATTTCATCCAAGTCAGAAAACTATAATTTGCACTTTTATTGCAATCCAAGATTCCTAGAAAACCAGTCCGTTTGGAGGCAAAGTATAAAAGCAGATGTAAATAATTAGCTCGTTACATGCATGGAGAGAAACAGGAGGGAGCAAGAATCCCACAAGCAAGTCTGAAACAAATTCAGGATTCAATCATGTAGGAGCATGGTTTGCTGCTATGTTTGAATATGCCGCCACAAAAAAATTAGGATTGATCAACCCGCCTTTACTAATATTCATACCTTGTATTTACTGATGGCATCAGGCCCATCTTAATGTCTAGAATCATTTTACCCATGCAAACACATGATGGCATCAACTCCTGTTTGGTTGAGCTTTAGTTCTGTGCCCAGTGGGTTGGATCCAATGAACTATGAATGGAATGAGTTCACTGAACAAATATCTTCCTTCCCTTTCCTTGTACCTTCTGTAATGCTGCTTCTGAGAGTCAAACTAGATGATACTGGGTCCCCAAATCTGCCCACAGATGAGGTGCTATGTTAGGAATCTGTTTTTTCTTTATTTTCAGCAATGCCCTGGAGGCCTGATCTGGCTGGAGACTTCAATGTGGAGGGAATAAGAGGCTCCTCTCCCCCCCGCCATGCAGTTTTCAAGAGCTAAACTTTCAGTTTTTTTAAAATTATGATATGGGGGATGTCCTCCCAGCAGGATCAGCCCCCACAAAAATTTTAAAAGTAAAAAAAAATCCTGATTCTACAATGGCACCACATCCCTGTGGCAGATTTGGTATTTTGTATTGTCTAGACTGGCCTTCAATGTCAGGACACTCTTGGCAATAGAGTGGAATTAAGTGTGAGAGAGATTGCGGCCACTTGTGTTACATCCTGTCATGTTCAAAAGGTCACCAAATCTCACAATTTCTGGGAGAGTTCAGGAGGAAGGGAGAGTGATCTGTTCTGTCCACAGTTCATTTCTGCAAAGTCTTGCTTGGGTTTTGTTATAGTGGGAACTTAGGAAGATTCTCCAAATTCCACAAATAACTGATACCAGCCGTTTGTGAAGAGACTGTTCAAACAGAGATCCTGGGATACATCTGAAATGTTTGTAACATAAATGTTTGTAGCAGAGCTGCCAAGCCCCTGGTGGAGGCAGGGATTCCCTGCTTCCAAGTCCCAAGGGTAGCTCTAGGAATTGCTGGAAACTCTATAGTAAGAACTTCCACTTTTACCACAGAGTTTCCAGCAATTCCTAGAGCCACCCTTTGTTACTTCCAGGTAGCTCTGACAATCACCAGGAACTTAATGGTAAGAACTTGCTGCAAGTAGAGGAGGTCTTATTTACCTTTTTCTCCTGGGAAACTGCCCGCCCCCCACATTTAGCACTGCCTGGCAACCCTAGTTCGTAGACAACTTGACTTTTTTTTTGGTCTTTGCTGCAGATCACACAACATTATTCAGGATGGTGAAAACCAAGGCTGAATGTGAAGAGCTCCAAGAGGACTTCCAAAAACTGGGTGAGTGAGCAATAATGTGGCAAATGAAGTTCAATGCTGCTAAGTGTCAGGTGATGAGCATAGGGACAAAAAAAATCCCAACTTCAAGTACAGGCTAATGGGGTTTGAACCTGCTGAGACTGAGAGAGAAAAAGATCTTGGACTTATAGTGGATAGCTCGATGAAAGTGTCAACCCAGTGTGCTTCAGCAGTGAAAAAGGCAAACTCTATGTGAGGGATTATTAAGAAAAGGACTGAGAATAACACATCTGATATTATAATGGCCCTGTATAGACCTCTGGTGTGGCCTCATTTGTAATACTGTGTACAGTTCTGGTCACCATATCTCAAAAAAGACATCACAGATCTGGAGAAAAGTACAGAGGAGGTCACCCAAGTTTATTAGGGGATTGGAGCACATTCCCTAAGAGGAAAGGCTGAAGAGTCTGGGACTTTTCAGTTTAGAAAAGAGATGACTAAGGGGGAACATGATAGAGGTTTATAAAAATATTCACAGGGTAGAGAGAGTTAACAAAAAGAATTTTTTCTCCCTCTCTCAAAATATTAGAACTTGGGGGCATCCAATGAACCTAATGGGCCATAGATTCAGGACGGACAAAAGGAAGAAGAAGAAGAAGAGAAGAGATTGGATGTATACCCCGCCCTTCACTACCCAAAGGAGTCTCAGAGCGGCTTACAAACTCCTTCCCCTTCCCAAAACAGGCACCCTGTGAGGTAGGTGGGGCTGAGAGAGTTCTGACAGAAACTGCTCTTTTTCAAGAACAGCTGTGCCAGAACTATGGCTTGCCCAAGGTCATCCAGCCAGGTGCAAGTGGAGGAGTGGGGAATCAAACCTGGTTCCTCTAGATTAGAGTCCACACACTTAACCACTACACCAAACCACTACACCATACTGCTTTACACAGAGAGTGATTACAATGTAGAATTCTCTGCCAGAGGATATAGTGCTGGCCACACAATAAACAGCTTTAAAAGGGGATTAAACAGATCCATGGAAGATAGATCTATCCGTGACTACTAGCTGAGGGGAACCTCCACATTCAGAGACACTAAACCTCTGAATCCCAGAGCCAGAAAGCAAGATCAGGGGAAGGTCTCAGCCTCTATGCCCTGTTGCTGGCCCTCCAGAGGAACTGGCTAGGCATTTTGTGAGACAGGATGCTGAACTAGATGCACCACAGGTCTATTCCAGCAGGGCTCTTCTTATGTTCTTCTGTTATGCTCTTATGTGGGACCCAAAGTGGCTTACATC